TTTAGTGCTATCTTTACAATCATGTAGTGTAGGATATTCCTATGAGTTGACCAATTTAAATGAAGTAAAAGCCATCTTATACAAAAATGGACCAAAATATTTAATGACATCTCACAAGGATATGGACATTTTTGTCCAATCAAATGCTCTCTAGATTTAGAATGTCAAATGCCCTCCCTCAGAATACCATATGCCTAATACCATTTGGGTATTTAAAACTTGTTAACCCGCACCTGGACGCCGGTGCCCTGAATGCTCTTTGTTTGCACGTGTCAATGTTTACGAATAGATTTAATGAAAAGGGACATAATTAATCTTGACAAACTATATATCATTCTAAAGGTCTAAGTCTCAAGCATAGATGATAGATCACTGTTTTTCAATGGAAAGCTTATAAAGAATGTATTTGCTAAATTTGTTCAAGCAGTACACATCAAAACATGCATAATCAAAACGCAGTACGTACCAGATTCATCGTAATAGTGAGTCATAAAGGCATCCACAGCTGTAAATCCCGGTTTAGTTAGAAAGGTAAGGGTCCACTGAACAACATCCCATAGAGCACTTTTAGTCCAATGAAACAATAGCGTTGTAATATGGATGGTAATTTCTAGACATAGTCTCAGAAATCATGTGACTTTCAACCCATTACTTTTCTGTATTGCTCCAGGACTGATTTAATGTATTTTTATATGAAATATAAAAAAAAATCAGTGTGGTACAATTTTTTTCAAGGCACTTCAGTGTCTATAACTTTTCATCTTTTTGAGCAATATCAACTCTGGTGATGGATAATAAACCCCAAAGGCTCTTCTTTCCAAAGACACCAAAATTGTGTATGTAGCACACTGAAGTCAGGAACTGTTACAATTTTAAGTTAGGTATGTCATTTTCAGATGTCAGTCCCAAAATGGGGGTGCAGGTTAACAGGTTAAAAAGCTTTTGAAGTAAATTCCTGTTTCAATATGAAATATGTAAATACATGAAAGAAAACTGTGCTCATCAAGGCATTTCATTGATCTTTAAAGCAACATCTTTGTTAAGTAATGTCGCTGGGAAATTACTATGCATCTCAGCTTTAACAGTACCATAGGCTAACAACAATGGCCTAGATGTTTTCAAACAGATAGAGATAGAAGAGCATCCAAGCATCTTAATGAGCTTTGTAATCTAAATGAAGTGGAATGCACATTCAGAAGCAACCTTTTTAATCATTGCTTAATTTATTGTTTTTCATTGTTACCTACATACAAAAGAGCCTAATTAATTACCTGCCTTTGGGCTTGTCTCATCTTGTTTCTCAGGGAAACAAAATGCCCTCTGCAACATTAACACCACGGTTACCAAACATTAGTGGCACAGATATTTTAATTGTGTGAGAGGGGAGACCTTTCAGTGACCTGTCTTCACACATCTGACTTGAAATGAAGGGAGCTTACAGAAAGAAGAAAGTGCTCTAATAGGTCCATTATTCCTCTTGGCATTTCAGATGCAACTTCAGTTGTAATTACCAAAAATGTGTGCACTGCTGTGGCCTGACACCTGGGAAGAACCTAAAAAGATGTCTGGATGTATGCTTTCCACTGGCATTTGCCTTTGGTGCCAAGCGATCCCAGAAAATGTGTGCCCATTTAGTTGTGTACAGGTCACTGTACCACTGCAGATCATCCCAGAGAGCAGAACTTTTAATGGTGGAAGGGTTAAGGGGGCCACAGAGCAATTGTAGCAGTATGTGGCTGAGAATAAGTTTAGTCTTTAAGAAAGCTGCCCACTGAAGCGTTAAAATCACCTTTGACGTCTGAGTACCTTCAGAGCTGTGTGAGATGAAAGCTGAAATCACATTGTTCATCTCCATGTACAGGGCAATAAACACAGAGGTGTGCAAAAACATATTGATAAATGCTTTTGTTTTAGAGGCCATGTGTGTGTGTGGCCACAAATCAAAATGAACAAATACCCCAACCCAAAAAAACTCCAAAAAAGAACAAATAAATCATATTTCTGTATTTTATATATATATATATATCTGTATTTATTTAAAAAATGTCATTTCACATCCTGCCTAATGTTGTCTATTGAAACAATGTCAGAATCTATGAAGTCAAATATAGTGAATGTAACCATGAAGGCTACAGTATAGATTATGTGCAAAAAATGGTAAAATCACATTACATTGTAACATTGCAACATTGCAATCTAAGAGCAGAAATAATGCTTTTTAAGCAGAAGTTAAATTCACTAAACAAAAATGCAAATAAAGAAAAACAAAAGCTCAGACTAACTGTATTAGGCTCTTTTGAATAGCACATTACAATAGTAATTTTACAGTTACTGCTATCATAAAAAAAAAAAATTTACTTATAGGTTTAAAATTCTACATACATTTCATTTATTGTCCAGCAAAAAAAAATTTCGCAAAATGCATATTTTATTCAGAATTGCACTCCTGTTTTATTGCATTCTGTCTGTTTGGCGCACATGGGCATGGAAATGCTTGCTCTCTAAAGTATCTGAGGTTTAGCGGAGACACACATACAAAGCACTGCACATTTTGTATGACATCCTTATCAGACACACCAAATTCAGGTCTTGCAGCAGAGATTATCTTACTATAGGGAGATGAGAGGGTCTGTATACTTACTATTGGAGAAAGCGTAATGGCTAACTTGGATCACGTGTGCCTTAATAAACAATCACATTACAGCCTTGACATCATTGAATTTCAGTCAGATTTGTACGGCACTCAGTCGCCATTTACGGATACCATATGAATGAATGGGAAGTGCCGTAAACTGAATCCCACCTGTCGCAAAAAAGTCAGTGACTTCTCTTATAAAACAGCATTTTTTTCATGGTAAACTCTAAAAATAGTTCAATCCAAAAGTATTGTTTAGTCTAAAACATGTTGAAGATTAGCAGATAGGCTGTCAATTCATTAAATGATAAGCCGTTTCCTCTAAAAAGCTGTTTATTCAGCATAGTGAAGCCTCTCCTCCATTGACATCCATTCAAAAAACGGCCTCTGGTCTCCTTTCCCATGTACTGTCAAAGTGGAAGCATTAGCATTTTTTTGGCTAAAGGCTTGCCTTCTAGTGGCTTTGCTTGCAATCTCTACTAATGAGCTGATGGGTTGAATCAGGTGTGTTAGATGAGAAACATACAAAATGTGCAGTGCTGGGGGTCTTCTAGAACAGGTTTGAAAACCCCTGGCATAGGAGATACCTTTTACTGCATGTGGCTGCCACATCTGGCTAGGGGATACTGTAAAGGGCAATTCACACCAAGAAGGATCAATTAAAAAGATAACTATAATTTAACTATATTAGCGTCCACACCAAAGAAGGATAAGATCTTGTTTTATTGTGTGTTATGTCATCTTCCACATTAAATACTCAAGCTCTATAATGCCAGGTGTATTCTGATTGGCTGTCAATGTTTTTAATCATTCATCAGCTGGGAATAAAATCATTCTTAAAAAACAAAACAAAAAGATACAAGTTATAATTATAGATGTAGTGTGGACTTCACTAGTGTGTGAACGTTAGTGTGAACAGTCCTTAGGGCTTATACGGGTTTCTATAATAAGCCTAAATTGCATAAAGAATTTTCCATACTCACAGCACTACATCAGTGATAGCTAAAGTGGTTAGTGAATGACACAATTTTGCTGAAATATTTTGTGAAAGAAGTGGAGCATTTGCTGTATAGAGGATTCAGATGGGGTCTATGTATTGAGAACTTCTCTATCTGCCCCTAATCTGGAACCAAGCAGAGATATTGACTAACACAGGAAGTCATCCCGCTTTACTCGTCTGATATTAGCCTTGTTTGTCTTTCGCCATATGTCACCTATTCCAGAGATACAATGTGTCAGCGACAAACACTGAGTCTTATTTTAACACAGCAAATCATTAGCTCCTTATATTCTCCATTTAAAGATTTTTATTAAATTTTACCCAACTAATGGTAGATGTTTGTTTATTTATTTATTTACTTTTTTTCTTTCCTTGAAGAGTAAATTATTCATCTGTAATAGGAATGTGCAGAATAGCTAGGCCAGACTTCTGATTACTATCTTAATTCCCAGGTCTAGTCACACATTTGCAGCATTTTGATTAATGTTGAACGTAATTATCCTCACTGAACTTACAGGTCAAACATGGGGTGGCTCAGCTGACATGGGAATAGCACACATATACTTTATATAATCAACATGATAGAGGGGAAAGAAAGCAGGATCATTTTAATCTTATAGTAGAAGACTGTAAAATGCTTTCGTCAAGTACAAATTTTTGTTACATCTTTACGCCTGACATAATAATACACTGAACAGTGTTCAATTTTATCATGCGTTTGGACAGGTTGGGTTACATCTGATGGGTTATAATTGCTTAGAAAAGCTACTTACAAAGATGAACTTAAAAAACACAGCAGAATAGATTCAGTTAAAAATAAATAATTAAATAAATAAAAGCTTGACTTGCCATTTCTTGCCACTTATTACTGATCACAGTTTCAGAGTCTTCCATGAGAACTGGTATTGGGGTGAAACAGTATCCCTGATGTGAAATTTAATAAATAAATAATTTTTTACTCTTTTTTTTCCCCCTGTTCTCCACGTTCTCGACATAAATATTTCATCTTTCTGGAATTCTTTTATTTTCGTATAAGAATTCTCTGGCCGTCTCACTTAATTCTGGTATGGAGCTCTCTCTTAAAATCATTTCTGTGCATCACAGGAAAGCAGCTGACTTGACAAATGCTAAATTGCCTAGTAAATGTGACTCTGATCCACAATTCCATTTGTTCACTAGAGGCTGTACCATACATCAGTATGCATACACCTTCCTTTTTGACTAAAGTATTGTGTTATTGCTCCTTCCAGTCACTCTCATGTTACGTGTTCCCACTGATTCTCAAGAATACACATCTGAGATGTATCAGGTAAAAGGCCTATGACTGAAAACAACTTTAGGTGGCCGATAATGCACTCATCTTACCTGATCCCAGGGACAGATGATTCCTCCAAAAAACATAAAGAGGTAACCCATGGCAACCAGGCAGGCCCAGATCACCAAGGAGAAAACTTGGAGCAGCTTCTTGAAGATGGACTCGATGCAGACCAGAACAAAGATCGTGAGGAAAATAGCCAGCGCAGTGGGGACAGTGATTACAAAGGCGACGTGATCCTCGATATCCTGCAGAGAGATTGCAGTGTTACAAAAATAACTTTAATTGCACCTTCCAAATGCACCTGCACTACAGCCACTAGATAATAGTTTACCAGATAAACTAAACAGTTCCATCTCAAATCAAACACACATGCCGGTAATTGTATAATCCTAAAGACTTTGGTTCGATTTTGCAGGTGTGTCTGATTTGAGATTGGGCAAAATTCTGCAGGACAGAGTTGGCCATCCTTATCCTAAATCAGTATCCTAAATCCTAGAGAGCCACAGTCCTGCAGAGTTCAGCTCCACCCCTAATCAAACACAACTGAACAAGCTAATCATTATCTTCAGAATTACTAAGGCTGTGTCCGAAATTGCCCCATACCCATAAACCTGAAACCTTTGTGGACATTATCGAGTGCACTCATTCAATCCCACAATGCACAGCAATATCGCAATAAAATAAAGATGGCTCCCAGAGCTGAATCATCCATCTATTAATTTTACAAAGCACTCATCCTTGGTGTACAGCGTAATACAATACAGGTATAAATTTATTGTAAATTGATTATTAAATTTCTTAATTAGGGTTTATACATGATTTCCATGACAGAGTTCAAGATAAATCCTTCCATCTTACTATTGGAGCTGCCAGTTTGCAAGTTTCAAATGATTATTAAACAACAAGTACAAACTATGAATGAATGAATGATGCATTTATATAGCGCTTTTTATTGTGTATTGTTGTACACCCAAAGCGCTTTACAATCATGTGGGGGGTCTCTCCTCAACCATCACCGGTGTGCAGCATCCACCTGGATGATGTGACGGCAGCCACAGTACAACAGCGCCAGTGCGCTCACCACACACCAGCTAAAGGTGGAGAGAAGAGAAAGTCATAGAGCCAATCAAGTGGATGGGGATTAGGAGGCCATGATTGACAAGGGTCAGTTGCGGCAATTTGGCCAGGATACCGGGGTTACACCCCTACTCTTTACAAGAAGTGCCATGGGAAAAGAGAAGAAGAGAAGTGCCAAAAGCGGCCGTTCTTCCGGTGCACTCAGTGTCTGAATTCACAAACCTGTTTTTATTTACTCCGTCAACTGTATTAGTGGCCTAATGTAGGGAATAGTAAATGAGGGTATGGGGGTGATTTCGGATTCAGCCTAAGGCTTAAGGCAAGTGAGGTTTTTTCAGGGTTGGAGCTAACTTTGCAGGACTCTCTAGAACTGAACTTGCCTATCCCTGTCCTAAATGAATAAATGTAAATCAATAGGATTTATTATATGGGAATAAAACAACAATACATGAACATCTAAAGCCATGTCTATAATACTCAATGCTATCGTCCGACACAATAATGTAATGCTTTGAATTATCTTAATTTGGTAGTTTTTCTCAGCAAATATAGCTAAATCCAATGAACTATGATTCATTTGATTAATCATATCATGTAATTCATTTGATAAATTTCAATGGATTGACTGTTTTAGTAAATACACGGCACTGCAATACAAAGTTTAACCCAAATTATTATTACAGGGGCACAGGCACAGGCACTTTTATTTTTTATATTTATATTATATTTTATTATTATTTTGTCCAACTGACAGTTAGTTTGTTAGTTTTTTCCCCTTATCTCTTACTTTTAATTGGCTACTGCTGGACAATAACCAATCATTTGTATCACACAATATTTTTCCTGTATTTTCCTAATGAGAATTTTATGATTGGTTTATATATTACACTTTTTATACTAACACCTTTTTCCCATTTCAAATATATTTTATTGTTTCTATGCTGTTTCATATACTTTATTTATTTATTACCTTGAGATGACTTGGAGATGAAAAACTTAAACCATATATTGTCGCAATTATGTGTTCATTGTCTTCACGTTTCATCAAAACGTTTCTGCTTTTTATTCAGCTTAGCTACAGTGATACAGTAGCTGGATGCCTTTGTCGATATCAAAGCCACTGGAAGGCAAGCCTGCAACCTTTAGCCAATAGAGTAACCTATTACCATAACCTACATAACCAATGTCACATTACTATTTAATAAAATATATTTAATATTGTGTATTGTCTAAAAATATTTATGTTCCCCTTCCAATGTTCTCTCACATTGTGTATGGGGAAAACTCCTGTTTTACTCTGTACTGAAGCCTGATTTGTTCACGTTTGTGTAGCTGAACAAACCAATGGTGCTTTAGCCTGCCAGACAGGGCGGAGCCGACCTCTATATAAGTCGGCTCGCAGCACCATTTCATCAGAATCTTCTCCTTCAGCGACGAGGAACATCTCTTTGCTGACACTGCAAACAAGAAGCTGAAGAAGGAAAAAGCTCAGCCTGCATCTCACCACCATAGAAGTGCCCCGGCAGAGGAAGAAGCAAGAAGCCTTCCCCTGCGGCTATCCAGAAATTTAAAAGAGCAAATTTCCTAGCAACATTGTTGCAAATTTCGTGCCGCGAGTGTGGCTCATGCAGTGAGCCCTTGTTTCTTTCTCCGAGCTTGCTGAGAGAGAAGAAACGGGAGAGCGGGGCTGCCTTCATTGAAGAAGGTGATATGCGAGCGTGGAAGAGCGAGACTCATCACTGAGAGCATTAGTCTCGCTCTTCTCCGCTCACATATCACCTTCTTCAATGAAGGCAGCCCCGCTCTCCAGTTTCTCCTCTTTCAGCAAGCTCGGAGAAAGAAACAGTTGAGTCACAGAGCTGAGCAACCAGGTTTGAGTAATCTCACGCCGGCACAGAGCCCACGTGTTCACTCTCCCCACAGCACTTTGATCTGCCGGTGTGTTTTACACATGAGGATCAGCGCCCCTCATTACATCGATTGGCTCAATTCTTCTAGGCGGATCAAAGTAGAATGCTGTCACCAATGATTCTTATCGCTGACAGCTTCGTATTTGTGTGTGTGTAGCGGACCTGGTTGGTGTAGCTGGCTGCTCTCGCTGTGAGAGCATAGAGTCTAGCGAAGCATTTTGGAGAGGAAAAAGAAGGGATCAGTTCACGCTGAGGCCGGAACTCCCTCGAAAAAAGCTTGTGCTCTCTCTCCATCTCTCCGTTCATCTCTCTGGGATTCTGCGATGCCCTTGGACCTGCTTCACACGCGGCTTCTCCAATATTGGCTCAAAACCTGAGTCCTGTCCCATGCTTGGCGCCAGGGCCGGTTTTACATAAAGGTAAACCATCGCTGTGTCAAAGCTGTGGACCCTTGGACAGCTTCTCGTCTGTCTCAGCCAGGCGTGCAGTTGGGACTGACCTTCAAGCGGAAGGTGATTACAACAGATGCTTCCAACTCAGGTTGGGGAGCTCTGTTGGAGGGCAATCCAGCGTCCAACTCCTGGTCAGCCCAAGCAGGGAGCTTGCTTGCATATCAACTGCCTAGAACTTCTGCCGGTTTTCCTGGCCCTGAAAACCTTCCAGCTGGCCATAAGGGGGCACCACATCCTGGTCCGGTTGGACAACATGACAGTGGTAGCCTACATCAATTGGATGGCTTTTACAGGATGGCTCGACACCTCCTATTTTGGGCACAGAACGAATTCCTCTCGCTAAGAGCAGTTTACGTGCTAAGCAGTTTGAACCATGGAGCAAACATGCTCTCCAGAGGCAATGTTAGAGAGCCCAGAGCCCAGGATATCACCCATCACTCCCCGTCTCAGATGGTGAGCAGAGTCCTAATGTACTCTGCCCTGTAAGGGCTTTGAGAGTCTATTTTGAGTGCTCCAGCCAGTTCAGTCAGTCGGAGCAGCTGGATAACTGACGCCATAGCCTTGGCTTATTTCTCAGAAGGCTTACAATGCCCCATAGATGTGAGGGCCCACTCCACCAGAGGAATGGGCTCCTCCTGGGTGTGATCCAGTGGGATTTCTATTGGTGAGATTTGTGCAGCCACCGACTGGTCATCGCCGTCCACATTTGCCAGATTCTATAATTTTGACGTCCGTGCAGGTTTCTGTCTGTTAATTACATTTGTGACTGCTGCGTGTGATGACGATATATCGCTTTTTAATGAAAAAAAGTATAAAATACATTTTAATGAATAAAAAGGTATTCTTTTTATGGCTTCCAGATTTCAACAAAAGAAACTACATTTTTAGTGATTAGTATCAGTGTATGCCCATTCATGCTGTTTTTTTTTTATGAAAAAATAAAAATAAAACCTAATCTTAAATTTTAGTGACCAGCAATTCATGCTCTTTTTTTACTGAGCAACATAACCTGTAAGAACTGTGAAAGCCACTGATGTCACAGCCATTGAATGATTGGCTGAGTGAGGTGTCAATGCTTTTTCCAATGGTAAGTATACAGATCCTTTCATCACCCATTCATAAGACAATCACTGATCGTATTATGAATTCCCTGGCACGTTACAAGTTATTGCTACTTTGAGACAGTTTTGGACTTTCTGCACCCTATGGCTTTGAGTATGAATGAAATACACACTTGGCTGATAAAAGTGCAGGGCAACAAATTTACATTTTAGTTGGGCTCCTTGCAGAGTTCTATGACCTAAAACACCTCTGTGTTGTAAATACAGTAATGATACAGTAAGCCTTAACAATTCCAATGCAATCTGATGAATAATAATAATAACAGCATAAAATAATATAAAATGTCTAGATTCACTACTGAACTCAGGTGAAAATTAAAATACACTCGGTAAGGTAAACAGTTGTTAATGAAACTATAGCTGCTAAAACAACTTTTTTTCTACTGACAAGTTTAATACTGATATACTAAAGATGAATGCATCAACACATCAACACAATGCATGTTATATGACAGACAGAAGAACTACTACAAAAGGATATCTGGACTAAAAATAACAACTTTCTAAAGGATTTGAATGTTAGGAAAGTGCCTGTTTATTTTCAACCATGTGAATACCTCAGCAAAACATTGTTTGTTTGTCCCATTGATTTCAACCAAATGCAATACAATGCAGGCTTTACAAATAAAATTTCATGGAAAGATACGGACCTGACAATGCCACAATATGTAATTGTGTTAATTCT